CTATTGTTGTCTATAGCTTGTCATACATTTGTTCAGCCTGCAGGCTAAATGAAAGAAATCAAAAAAGATTGCTCCATCCATGCTATTTAGGAGGAGGAGTTTTCCCTGCCCTCTATTGTATTCTAACAGCCACCATGGATGGCTATCACAACACCTGAACAGCAGCTTCTTCGGAAAAAGTCCATTGAACAATTGGTAAATCCGGGCAGGGCCACTATAGGCACCTATGGCCAGAATTTGTGACGATTCAGCAGGAATCAGCTGAGGTTTGCACTGTGTATGGTAGCCTTATGTCACTGTTATGAGGGTTATTTGCCAGGGTGGATGGAACTTTAAAGAAAATCCAAAATTTTGAGTTACCTCTATAAAAGGAGACAAATTCAATGACAACTCATTTCTCCAACTATCCTCTCATTTCTTGTTTTATCTACAGGACAGGAAGTGAAGGCAAATCTTCAGAGTTGGCAAAATACCTGAGAGGGGTTTTAAAGGTCAACTACTGGAATCTGAAAATGCTCCCTTGCAGTGGGGCTGCACTTTTACTTACCTGATCATCTGCTCCCCTGGCGGACAGCACTCCACCATGCATCGGTGATGGACTGTCCTGCTCTGCCTACATATTCAATGCACTTGTATTGGCCCTGATTATGTCAGGACCATAGACCACTGGAGCATGATAAAGAATATGGTGGGCCAGTGGGGCCAGTTTAGCAATGCAGAGGAGCATAGGATCAGGTAAGTATATCTAACTTCCCATGCCCCCTAAGCCTGAAGGAGTAGTTAACTCTTGCAGTACGGGAGCAGCCCCACACTAATGGAGTATTTTTAAGTTTCCCAGAGTTCAGCTTATATCATTTTCTACCCCATCCAAAATTTAAAAAAAAAAATCTTTGGCCTTAGATATACTTTAATATTCTAGTAACACGGAAGCAAGCCCATTAGAATCTCATTAATGTAGTTATCTGTATACCTTGTTTTCGTTGTAAAGATTCACTTTATCCAGTCCAGTATTCACATCCAGATCCTCAATGGGAAGCTTTCTGGCTTTGGCAGACTGAAGGAAGCAGCTAGGACACTGGCAGTTATCTCTGAGCCATACATATGGGTATAGACTTTGCCCTCCATCCTTCCAGTGTACACAGACAAAGCGTTCAGCATCTAATACCTCTATGTGCTGGATCATAGTCTCAGTGAGAGCAGTCTGGTTACTTTTCAATTAAATTTAATGGTCCTGAGGTAATTAAAAAAAAAAAAAAGAACAGTATTAGCATTTTAGTGATTTTAGCTTCTGTAGCAGTTGACTTTTAAAAATCAGGTACTTACAAGTGCCTAGAGTCCAGCACTCTTTTCCCCGCGGCCAATTCTTCTTTCCACTGTAGGTCCTGGCACACACTGATCTTGGGTATGGGAACTGGCTATGGAATCACAACTGGCTCGCCACTTCCATGTGTGAGATTGCGCAATGCTCCAAGACTCGTTCGCTGTGAAAAAACATCTAAAGTGTTAGCGGGGGTGAGGAGTTGGAATAGAGGCACTTTCATTTTGAGATGCTGCTATAAAGGGCTATTCCACTAACACATTATTGAACCATTATCATATAAGGGTCTGGTATAATTCATTTACTTTTTTATAAGTCCTCCTTCACAAGGGCGTTCAGAGGCTTATGCTGAAATCAAGAAACAGCAGACTGTACAGTGGGGATCAAAAGTTTGGGCACCCCAGCTAAAAAATTGTATTAATGTGCATAAAGAAGCCAAGGAAAGATGGAAAAATTTCCAAAAGGCAACAAATTACAGATTAGACATTCTTATAATATGTCAACAAAAGTTAGATTTTATTTGCATCATTTACACTTTCAAAATAACAGAAAACAAAAAAATGGCATCTGCAAAAGTTTGAGCACCCTGCAGAATTTATAGCATGCACTGCCCCTTTTGCCAAGCTGAGACCTGCCAGTGTCATGGATTGTTCTCAATCATCATCTGGGAAGACCAGGTGATGTCAATCTCAAAGGTTTTAAATGCCCAGACTCATCTGACCTTGCCCCAACAATCAGCACCATGGGTTCTTCTAAGCAGTTGTCTAGAAAACTGAAACTGAAAATAGTTCACACTCACAAAGCTGGAGAAGGCTATAAGAAGATAGCAAAGCGTTTTCAGATGTCAATATCCTCTGTTTGGAATGTAATTAAGAAATGGCAGTCATCAGGAACAGTGGAGGTTAAAGCAAGATCTGGAAGACCAAGAAAAATATCAAACAGAACAGCTCGCAGGATTGTGAGAAAAACAATTCAAAACCCACGTTTGACTGCACGATCCCTCCAGAAAGATCTGGCAGACACTGGAGTTGTGGTACACTATTCCACTATAAAGAGATACTTGTACAAATATGGTCTTCATGGAAGAGTCATCAGAAGAAAACCTCTTCTACGTCCTCACCACAAAAATCATCGTTTGAACTTTGCAAATGAACATATAGACAAGCCTGATGCATTTAGGAAACAAGTTCTGTGGACCGATGAGGTTAAAATTGAACTTTTTGGCCGGAATGAGCAAAGGTACGTTTGGAGAAGAAGGGCACAGAATTTAATGAAAAGAACCTCTGTCCAACTGTTAAGCATAGGGTTGGATCAATCATGCTTTGGGGTTGTGTTGCAGCCAGTGGCACAGGGAACATCTCACGAGTAGAAGGAAAAATGGATTCAATAAAATTTCAGCAAATTTTGGATGGTAACTTGATGCCATCTGTGAAAAACCTGAAGTTAAAGAGAGGATGGCTTCTACAAACGGATAATGATCCTAAACACACCTCGAAATCCACGGGGGATTACATCAAGAGGCGTAAACTGAAGGTTTTGCCATGGCCTTCACAATCTCCTGACCTCAACATAATTGAAAATCTATGGATAGATCTTAAAAGAGCAGTGCGTGACAGACAGCCCAGAAATCTCAAAGAACTGGAAGACTTTTGTAAGGAAGAATGGGCAAAGATACCTCAAACAAGAATTGAAAGACTCTTGGCTGGCTACAAAAAGTGTTTACAAGCTGTGATACTTGCCAAAGGGGGCAGTACAAGATATTAACTCTGCAGGGTGCCCAAACTTTTGCAGACGCCATTTTTTTGTTTTCTGTTATTTTGAAAGTGAAAATGATGGAAATAAAATCTAACTTTTGTTGACATATTATAAGAATGTATAATCTGTAATTTGATGCCTTTTGGAGATTTTTCCATCTTTCCTTGGCTTCTTTATGCACATTAATACAAATTTTTAGCTGGGGTGCCCAAACTTTCGATCCCCACTGTATGTGAATAGCAGTGGCACACAGGCCAATTACATGTGAGCTGTTGCAATTAGCTGTGGAAGCTGGTAGACTCCCATTGGTTTCAATGGGGCTGCCTCCTGCAGTTATTCGCTGGGATACCCCCCTGCCAGGTTTCTTGTTAGTACATGTGGTCAGGCCAATTTGCATTTGTGAATGTGGCCTTATAGGAATCATTCTCAAGTTATTTAAGTAGCACTTATCTTTCCAGATGTCATCAGGGTGGTTATGTGATGTGCAGTGTTCTCTTCCTTTTTGTATCTTTTCCAGTGGTGGGAGTTCTCAACAATGCTGAGAGCAGTACTGATGTGAGCACCCCTCTCTGCATCATTGTATGTGATGGCAGAGCTCTGTGTTGACACCCTCTCAGGGGGTGGGTCCATTACACCCTGCACTCAAATCATGCCAGACTGAAGACATCTAGTGGCAACTAGGATAAATCCCTGAAGAGGAGATGAGCATTGCAGCTAGGGTTGCTTTTATAGGGGACTTTTCTTTAAATAGGGCTGGACTTTAAAATGTTCTATACATTAAAGCTTCTCTTGAAACTTTCTGGTCCACCAAAACCACACTCATCCATATATATATATATATATATATATATATATATATATATATATATATATATATGGTATATGGTAAGCAATGCCAATCCATGACCTTTGAATCAGGAATGCATCCTTAAATTGTCACTAAACCCACATCATAAAAAACTGTCAATAAATGCTGTATTACATGCTGTTCATGCACACTCATTCTCTATGTGATTCCTTTTCTGTATCCTGCAAAAAACACCTGGTTGATCCTACTATTCTCTATATCCACCTTCTGTCCATGTCCCCAATGCAGTTGGTGATTTTGCAAGCACAATGTTGACAACTACTGCACATGCTCAATTTTTAGTGAGTTTCTATGCTGAGCATTTCTTCCATATCACATCTGAGCAGCCCATGTGACTATAGAATCAAAAATATGGTCATATGCACAGTGGTAAATGACAGCCCGCTCCCTCCCTCCTCCTCCATGCCCACTAACCAGCTAAACACAATAGGGGTGAGGTATTACATGTTGATTGATGGAGACATCATCTCCTTGTTAGTCTAAGACACAGGCTGGAGGGGTGTGACACAGCCTGTGACTGGCAGAAATCCGCCCACACCATGCCAAAAAAAAAAAATTGATTTCAAATATACATTTGTATGGTGATTTAAAACAGTTTATCAATGTTAACAATTTATTTTTTACTCTCTAACTTAAAAGTTGTTTTTTTTTTAATGTGACCAGCAGCAGAGAACTAGAAGCTTTTCCTGCCACTGTTTTTCTGCACATAGACTGGGAAAGAGCTGGGTCATGTGACAGCTATATATCAATGAGGAAAAACGTACTTACATTTTTAAAAAATAAAATAATAACAGCCATCATCCATATACAGAAAGAGAAGGGACAATGTAAATTAATCAGCGTGTGAGTAGTATCACTTAAAACTGGAACAGCCAGTCGTGAAACACCAATAGACTAAAATATTTTCTAATAATATGATAGGTTGCCTGACCCTTGACCATATGTGCATTTGGTCAAATCTATATGAGATGGACATTAAAATATATTTAAAACAAACATTTTTTATAGGGTGGGACCTTTTAAAAACCTCTGCTGGCTGTTATTTTGCCATCTGTATCCCATCTGGAAAGTTTTCCTTCATTTCCTTTCTTGTGGATGCAGGAGGAAGTAAGAAGAAATCTCTCCAAAGTGAAGGAATTGCCCTATTAGATGGCTGACATTAGAACAAGTGTTCCATTGGAAATTTCCCCTCTATTTAGAGTTGCCACTTCATTTAAACACATATTAATTACACAGGTTCTGAGGCTGATTAAGGTGGTAATTAAACTCACTTAGTGACTTATCTGCAATAAATTAGCCTCAGAAACTGTATAATTAGTATGTGTTCGATTTTAAAGGGATGAGGGGGCAACCCTACCTCTATTCCTGTTTTGGTGACAACCAAACCTTTTGGATTTGCCCTCACTTTCAGTCCCAGTGGCAAAGATCAGCAGAACAAATAGCTAAGTTCACAACTATATACCTCATTTTGATGGACTGACCCTCTTTTGGAACCAAATCTCTTTGTTCCATAGATGGCTAAGATTTAGAAATCAAGACTTAACCCAATCAATAAAAACAAGAAAAAGAAAAGAAACTAAATGCCGGCCACACCTACACATACTCATACAGGGGTGTATTTTCCACAAGTCAAACAAGGCATTTGCCTAGGGTGGCATGTTTCAGGGGGGCAGCACTGCTCCTTGGAAGAAGGGAAAGAAGAAGCAACACATGCGGCATGGCGACCTGGTGGGTTCTGACAGCAGCTGTGGGTTTCATGACTGTGTATGCACAGCCTGACTCTCATTCGGGATGTCCGCAGCTGTGAAGGTGAGGGTCTTTCTCTCTCTCGCCATGTGGGGATGGTGACTGGTGCATGGGGGCAGTGTTAGTGGAAGGCTCTCTCGAGTGGGGGGGCAGGGCTGTTGTTGGTCAATCTCAGGCTCTCTCTGCAGGTGGGGGGGCACCGATGTTTGTATTGCCTTGGGCAGCACACAACCTAAATACACCACATACATACATACATGACAAAATCACATATTCATAGTGCCACACTTTTCTCATAACATAAATATCACTTTATCGTGACATAAAATATTTATCCCAATGCAACTAAATAAGTGAAAATTAGTCCAAACAATGTGCTGAAATATAGGGAAATAGTTCAGTCACAGTTCATAATTTCTCCAAAAGATAATATCCTCATCATTATTCCATCTCTTTGTTTTTATCTATATTATTATTATTATACAGTATTTATAAAGCACCAATGGTTCGCTCAGCGCTGTACATTACAAAGGGGGACAGAACATGTGACAGAACAATAACAATACAATGCAAAACATGAGGGGATCGAGGGCCCTGCACTTTCAAGCTTACAATCTAGGAGGGAGGGGATGGTGGCACAGGAGGAGATAGCTGTGGGGATGGGGTGGTAGGAAGAGTGGAGGAGGTTGGCAAGTTAGCAGGGGGTGGGGTAGGCTTCCCTGAAGAGGTGGGTTTTCAGGGTGTGCCTAAAGGAGAGGAGAGTAGGTGATAATCTGATGGGTTGGGGCAGGGAGTTCCAGAGGATGGGTGACACCCTGGAGAAGTCCTGGAGGAACTAGAGAGAAGGAGATCTTGTGAGGAGCGGAGTGTGCGTGCTGGGTGGTACTTGGATATTAGGTCAGTGATGTAGTTCAGGGCAGTATGGTGGACGGCTTTGTACGTCAGTGTTAGGATTCTGAATTTGATCCGTTGCGCAATCGGAAGCCAGTGGAGGGATTGGCAGAGGGGGGTGGCGGAAATGGAGCGGTTGGAAAGGTGAATGAGTCTGGCAGCCGTATTCAGGATCGACTGAAGCGGGGATAGCCAGCAGCGAGGCAGGCCAGTAAGGAGGGAGTTGCAGTAATCGAGTCGTGATATGAGGGAGTGGATGAGCTGTTTAGTGGTTTCTGGGGTTAGGAACGTGCGTATTTTGGCGATATATATATATATATATATATATATATATATATATATATATGGGAATCCTACTGAGGAAGCCATGTGACCCTGTGGTGTAACACGTAGGGGGGAGCTTTTCATAGCCAGATGGTGTCAGCTGTTTACTATTCAACTGTATGTTATTGGGTGCAATGGAGCACCTGTACCATGTGAGTTGCTCATTTATAATGTAATAGATGTCTTTAAACGTTAAAGCACTATTGGTCTGCCTTTGTATTTTCTACATGTATGCTGAGCGAAGGAGGAGTCATAAGAAGGAGCTTAACCAGCACAGAAGGAGGATTTTGTTAAATGATATACCATCACTATATGTCCACCTAGAGCAGGGGTCTGCAACCTTTAAGACATAAAGAGCCACTTGGACCCTTTCCGAGAGGGAAAAAAAGACTGGGAGCCGCAAAACCATTGCAACATTTAAAACAAATCCGACACTGCATATATTGCAAAAAGCGCTCTGGTCATGAAGGGGGTTTAAGGGCCCAGTAAGCAAAGGGTTAATCAGGGCCACAGTGTATCGTCATAATCACAATCATAGCCTTAGGTCAGTGGTGGGCAACCTTTTTTTTCAACTGAGCCAAATCTCGCCAAAACCACGATTGAAATTTATTTTGAGAGCCACATTTTTAAAACTGAAAATACATCCCCCATATAGTAATTCATCCCCCATAGTAATTCATCCCCCATATAGTAATTCATCCCCCATAGTAATTCATCCCCCATATAGTAATTCATCCCCCATAGTAATTCATCCCCCATATAGTAATTCATCCCCCATAGTAATTCATCCCCCATAGTAATTCATCCCCCACATAGTAATTCATACCCCATAGCAATTAATCCCCCATATAGTAATTCATCCCCTATAGTAATTCATCCCCCATAGTAATTCATCCCCCATAGTAATTCATCCCCCATATAGTAATTCATCCCCCATATAGTAATTCATCCCCCATAGTAATTCATCCCCCATATAGTAATTCATCCCCCCTATAGTAATTCATCCCCCCTATAGTAATTCATCCCCCCTACAGTAATTCATTCCCCATATTGTGTCAATTCACTTACCTTTGCTCCACGCGTTCCTCTCGCCGTGTTGCCGCGCCGTTCCGGTCTTCAGGGCGGACTGTGAGAGGAGTTCGTCACGCTGCCCCGCCTACATCCTGACAGCCAATGTTTGCCACGCTCCGCGGGCCGGATTAAAAGGTCCGCCGGGCCATAGTTTGCCCATTGCTGGGCTAGCTGCAGAGTCCTGACTTTTGGGGCGGCCGCCCGAGAGGAGGGGGGGAGCGGGCGCCCGGCACACAGAAGAGCCGCATTAAAATGTGTAAATAGCCGCGGCTTGCCGACCACTGAGCTACGGCAACCCTATTGCCTGTCACTTGGTGGGCAGTGTGCTCCGGAGCCGCAGCAAAGGTGAAAAAGAGCCGCATGCGGCTCTGGAGCCGCGGGTTGCCGACACCCGACCTAGAGGATGCAAGTTATTTTGACCAAACTTAGTTGTGAGGTCAAAAATTCCAAGTGAGAGCACAGCTGGTGTTATTGATGGTGGAGGTGCACTGCATATAAAAGATGAAAACAGAAGAGATGGAATAATGATTAGGATATTATCTTCTGGAGAAATGATGAACTGTGACTGATTGAACTATTTCACTATATTTCAGCACATTGTTTGGATTCATTTTCACTTATTTAGTTGCATTAGGATAATTATTTTATGTCACGGTAGAGTGATATCTATGTTGTGAGAAAAGGGCGGCACTGTGAATATGTGATTCAGCTCTCAAGTTTAGTTATAGTCACCATTCTTACATAAGCGCTGGGTAATGTGCATTGGCTGAATGCGTTTTTAGCACATTTTTGTTTTATAGTAAAATGAGTCTGTATATGCAGTAAAGCATGCTTGTTATACTCACTGTGGAACCTAAGGGGTTAATCCTCTGCATTGTGAAAAAAGGATGTTTGATCCTGTCTTCTATGATCCTCCCCTTCTTCTACTATCCCCAATCCATCTGCTGATAGTACAAAGCCTTGGGGTCAAGCTGCACATATTCAGTTTGGTGTGTATTGCTAGAGAGTTTTTTTTTCCTTGGGAAGGTGCATATGATCAGCACAGGGCCAATAAGCACTGTCGAGACAGAGGGTCAGAATTTATGCAGCCTTATACGACAATCAGGAGAGAATGAAAACTCCTCCTACAAACTTTAACCAGTGCTCTGCTGGACACTGATATAAGTCACAAGACTGCTGATGAGAAAAGGTATTTAGCAGTTTATATTTACTAAAATAATTGCATTTCCATTTTGTGTGTACTGTGGGAGACCAGATATAGTGAATGCAGGGTCCTGGGTTTAGTAACATTTTAACAATGAACTGTAAAATGATTTGCTATCAGCATGCATGAGTAATATTTACCCCCACATCACACCTCTGCGTGCTGTGGGCAGGGCTGGACAGCTCATTCATTTCAATGGGCTGCCATACCTGCAAGCAGCATGGGGAAAGAAGAAGTCTGAGACCTTTTTGCAAAATTGCACCGTAACAAACCCCATGGTGCTGCACTAGCATGCAGTTTGGCGCAAGTGAAAACACGCGGTTGTCCATGCGTGAGGTTGCCATTAAGAATTAAGTTTGTGTGTTGGGAAATTCTGCAGTTTTGCTTGAGTTCCCAATATGCAGAGATGTGAACTTGGTGAAAGGGGGGAAGGTCCACTTAAAATAGTAAAAAAAAAAGTTGCTTTAACCACTTGCTCTCTGACCTAAAGCAGAAGTACTGCTACAGGGCAGAAGGGCTGTGCAAAAGAACGTAAATATACATGATTTGCATTTCTGGGTAGGAAGCGCACGCCTCCCCCTTACCTGCGTTGCTATTGGCGGCTAGAGAAGTCAACCTGGCGATTCCTGGACGTCACTCGTTGATCGTAGGGGAAAGCTGACAGGGGAGAGACCTGTGTGTAAACAACACAGGTCTCTCTCATGTCAGCATGGACATGCTGCTTTGTATCTCTCTGCACACCAGAGAGATACAAAGCAGCATGTCTCCCAAGTTAAACACGCAAACAGTAAAACACACACAGCACACAGTTAACCCTTTGATCCCCCCCAGATATTAACCCCTTCCTGCCCAGAGTCATTAGTACAGCATCAATGGTTTTTATTAGCACTGATCACTCTATTAGTGTCACTGGGGATGTCAATGGCAGTTAGTCAGTTCCCATACAGTGTCAGCAGTCCCACTATAAGTCACTGATCACTGCCATTACTAGTATAAAAATAAATAAATAAAAAATCCAGTATATATACCGCCATTTGTAGACGCTATAACTTTCACATAAACCAATTAACTTACAAGTATTGGGAGTTTTTTAGCAAAGACTTGTAGCAGAATACATTTTGGCCTAAATTTATGAAGAAATTAAAATTTTTACATGTTTTTATTGGATATGTTTTATAGCAAAAAGTCAAAAATATTGAGGAGGGGGTTTCAACATTGTCAGTCTTTTTTGTTTATAGCACGAAAAATAAAAAACGCAGAGGTAATCAAATGTCACCAAATGAAAACTCTACTTGTGGGAAAAAAAATTTATAAATTTCATTTATGTACAGCATTGCATGACCGCGCAATTGTCAGCTAAAGTAATCGCCGTATCGCAAAAAATGGCCTGGTCAGGAAGAGGGGTAAATCCTCTGGAGTGTAAGTGGTTTATATTTACTAAAATAATTGCATTTCCATGTTGTGTGTGCTGTGTGAGACCAGATATGACTGATGTGAATGTACAATATATATGTAAAGCGCTGCGTAAGTTGACGGCGCTATATAAGTACCTGAAATAATATAGTGAATGCAGGGTCTGGGGTTTAGTAACACTTTAACAGTGAACTGTAAGATGATTTGCTATCAGCATGCATGAGTAATATTTATCCCCAGATCAGGGGTGGACTGACAACTCATGGGGCCCCCGGGCAATAGGGGACCATGGGGCCCCTGTGTGCTCGCGCACACCCAAAAACGCCTATGAAAAAGCGAATGAAAGGTACCAGGGGCATCTCATGGGGCCCCCTACTGACCCCGGGCCCTCGGGCAGTGCCCGAGTGCTCGAATGGTCAGTCCGCCCCTGCCCCAGATCACACCTCTGCATACTGTGGGCAGGGCTGGGCACCTCATTCATTTCAATGGGCTGCCATACCTGCAAGAAACATGGGGAAGGAAGTCCCAGACCAGGGGCGGACTGACAACTCATGGGGCCCCTGGGCAATAAGGGATCATGGGGCCCCTGTGTCCTCGCCCACACCCAAAAAAGCCTATGAAAAAGCCAATGAAAGGTACCAGGGGCTTGGGCAGTGCCCGAGTGCTCAAATGGTCAGTCCACCCCTGTCCCTGACCCTTTTGCAAAATTGCACCATAACAATGCAGTAGCATGCAGTTTTGGCGCAAGTGAAAACGCACGTGGTTGTTCATGCGTGAGGTTGCCAATAAGAATTAAGTGTAAGAAGTGTAGCACATTTCTCTGCGTGTTTGGGAAAGTGTGCGGTTTTGCTTGCATTCCCAATATGCAGAAATGTGAAAAATGGGAAGGTCCACTTTAAATAGTAAAAAAAAAAGTTGCTTAAAGTAACAAAAGCCTGATGTGTCACTAATTAATTCTGACTTTGGAAAAAACAAATGATTTCAAAGTCAGTAACCCACAGCGACAAATCAGGAGTTATTTTAATAAAAAAAAAAGTGAAAATCGGACTCTTCTATGAGCATTTTTAACATCCTTTTTTTTTTTATTCCACTGTGCTGTTAAACCCCTAGTCACAATTTAGTAAATTCAGCTTTAATAAACAAACCCTTGTGAAGTATGAGCCCAATTAACACATTCTCACTGTTCTGCCCGGGGAAATACAATGGGCTGTTTTACAACCTTCATAGTGTTTTCAGTTCCCAGGAGCTCCCATCCCCCAGCTTGTACACACAGCTTGTACTTCATGAACTGCATCTTGTATATAGAAAGAATTGAACGTATAATGAAATGTAATCAGAATGGGGTACCTTCTCATTTGCAGTATTTCTGTATGTTTTCAGCTTTACAGTCTCCTGAATGTCAGCACTACAGTCTGCTCTATGCACTGCAGCAAGCCAGCTGGAGCCCCAACCCCAAGCAATGCCTTGTGTTGCCTTTCTCTCTGTTTCTCTTCCTGTCATGCTTATTCTTGCTGGTAGATCTATTCCTAACACTGTCATTGGATCCCAGACAAGGAGTCCCAGCCTGTGCCTTCGGGAACGTGACACCGGCCGCATGTGCATAGTGCAGCTACTTATCTCCTCCTTCCATAAACAATACAAAAGCTGTACACCTGCTGCTGTGCAATGTACTAGTGTAATAAAACGTTCTTGATTTTATTTTGTAGTTTTACACTGACAGTGGCAAGCTTATTTATTGATTTTATGTACTTATATAGCCCCGTCCATTTACGCAGCACTTTACGTATATATTGTACGTTCACATCAGTCCCTAACCCATAAGGGGCGTACAATCTAAGGTTCCTAACTTACATTCATATTTATTGAAATAAATTAGATGGGGGGGTGGTTTTCTCGAATCTCCCTATTTATTATACAATTATGTACTATTTTTCTTTTCCTATAAGTAATTAGTAAATGTCTAAGCTTTGACGATATTAAAGGACGTAATATGCAATGTTAGCTATAATAACAAACACAATGCTCAAAGAAGCAAGGTCTTATTTATTTACAAAGAAAGTAAAATGCTAACAGAGCAATCTAAACCAATGTTACAGAGTATGTAGGAATAATAGTAAAGATGATACGTTACGTAAGTTCGTCTTCAACGCTGGATCCCAGGTAGGAAAAAAAATAGTCAAAGAGACAGAGTCTGGTCAAAAACTGTCCTTAAAAGCCCTCTCAAGCACCACCCACACACACACCCTTGACCTGCCTGGTGTAGTCGAATGAGCAAACATCCATAACTCATAAGTGGCTGTCCTCCCTATTCATTAGGAAGTGTAGAATTACCCCAGCCATCCTCCCAGAAGTATGTTGTCTCCACCAGGGGGGCACTGCTATATTGCCAACAATGCTCGGACCCAGGTCAATCACCTCTGGCTTCTTCCTTCTGGCTAGAAGCCATGTAATCTTTTAATACTTGTGGCGCCAGGGAGTCTGGGCTGAGACTCTCTCAGCTCCATGCCCCACCGCTAGGGGGTATGTATGAACTCCAAGTGCAAGGATTTTGGTATGCAGCCTTTTGTTACACACATTCTGTTGTAAATACTTGCTTTTTCTTGACACTCCAAAATAACATTCAATAGGCCAAATAGTTATTTGACAACCAGGCAGTAATAATCCATAAATGTCTGAAATAAAAAACATGTTGCCTTCCAACATATATACATACTAGAGCCAATTTAGACAGGATGCAACTAACCTACCAGCATATCTTTGGAGTGTGGGAGGAAACAGGAGTACCCAGAGGAAACTCATGCAGGCAAAGGGAGAACATGTAAACTCTAGGCAGGTGGTGCCATGGTCGGGATCTGAGTCAATGACCCTAGTAGTGCCAGGGGGAAGTGCTAACCATTTAGCAACTGTGCTGTCAGGATTCCTACCAGTTATCTGTTCTTCTTTGTGAGTGTGCATTTTGTATAATATTGAGATATTAAAATGTTTTTAAAGTTTACGCACTATGTGGAGTCTTTTGTTTATGAGGTGATGTGATGGTGGGAGTTGTATTCCAGACAAGGTGTGAACCATAGCTGAAAATTCATCAAGCTGATCTTCAGTGTCCGATTTGGGACCAAAAGTGCAGTTAGACCAAACATAATATTATGTGAGGTCACACTGCTGGAGGTGAGCAGACATCTGGTGGCGGAATATTGCACTTATATGCTTTGGAGCAATTGGGCAACTATGTGGCAAATGAGGTTTAATGTTGATAATGTAAGGTTATGCACTTTGGGGCTAAGAATATGCATGCATCATACATGCTAGGGGGTACAACTGGGGGAATCAATGGTGGAGAAGGATCTGGGGGTTCTGGTAGATCACAAGCCTAATAATGGCATGCAATGCCAAGCAGCGGTTTATAAAGCCAGCAAAATCCTCTCTTGTATTAAAAGAGGTATAGACTCCAGAGAGAGATATCATATTACCCCAAAACAAATCATTAGCAAAACCTCATCTGGAATATACAGTTCAGTTTTGGGCACTAATTCACAAAAAGAACATTGGGGAACTTGAGAAAGTACAGAGAAGGGCAACTAAACTGATACTGATATGTAATTATGAGGCACTTGGTGGTTGCAGAAGGATGGAAGTACTATAATGAAGATGATCGACTTTTTTTATATATAAATTTCTAATATATTTTGTGATTTTACTTTATATTGTAGCGCTGCACTGGTCATTGTGTTTATCTGTTTTGTTTCATAAAGAGTTATTGGGTTTTTTAAGGTTTTGTAAAACATACAGTAGCACAATGGGAGGGTACATAGGAATGTAACTATAAAGGAAAGGCACAAAGAATACCCAGTTATTGCAACAAAGTTTTGTTACAGGGTCAAATTGCATGTACTACCAAAGTTTTGGTGATTCCGCACACAGCATGGAAAGTAAGATAGCTAACACTTCCTGCACGGTTTGCTCCCTGATCGGCAGTTATTGATTGCTTCTGTGGAGGGGAGAAAGGGAGAAAGGCAATACTCTATCATTTAGAGCTATAGGTCAGGAAAAGGAGGAGAGTAGACCAAGCCAGAGAGGAAAAAATAAAGAGGGATAAAATGTGGGGAAGGAGAGGGAGAACAGAAACTGTATGGTATATCATACCAAAAGTAAAGAACGATCATTGTTAGTGGCCATTGTCAGTTATCCATGGGTCCCAAATCTTCTGAAATTTAGTAAGGACTTCAGACAACATGGAACTGAGCTTCTCATGAACCATAGTCCCCGTGAGCCTTAGTCTAACCTAAGTGAAATTGAGAAACGGTTGTTGCTAGGCTCTGGCTAATGTCTGCTGGGCTGCTAGGGCCATAAATCCCAGGAACCTTTCTGTTTCTTGGTGACAGGGACAGGCTTGGGCCTCCCAAGAGCTGTGAGCAAGGGTATCTGTTCTTCTTTTGGAGGACATATCAGCTGTTTCTATGTTGGAGCAACAAAACTCCATTATGAAGGACATATAATACATACAATTGTGCTCAAACGTTTGCATACCCTGGCATAAATCGTGAAATGTGGCATTGATATTGAAAAGATGAATGATTATGCCAAAAAAAACTGTCTTTTATTTAAGGATATTTATCATATGAAGCCATTTGTTATCACATAGTTTTTTAGCTACTTTTGAAATCATAATGATAGCAGAAATCACCTAAATGGCCCTGATCCAAAGTTTACATACCCTGGAATGTTTGGCCTTGGTACAGATATGCAAGGTTACACACAGGTTAAAATGGCAATTAAAGGTTAATTTCCCACATCTGAGTCTTTTTAAATTGCAATTAGTGTCTGTGTATAGTCTAGAGAAAAGCATGGTGAGGCGCTATTGGGCATATTGTAACCAGGCTTTTTTGTGGCATTGGCTCAGTAAAGGCTTCTTTCTGGCAACTCGACTATGCAGCTAATTTTTGTTCAAGTATTGTTATATTGTGTTTCTTAAAAAAAACACCGTCTTTTTCCATAACAGCCTGTATTTCTCCTGAGGTTACCGCAGTCCTTCTTGGTCTACCTGTACTTGGCCTGGTATCAAGAGATCTTAGAATTTTCCACTTCTTAATAAGTGATTGAACACTACTTAGTGGCATATATAAAGGCTTTGGAAATCCTTTTATTTCCCTTTCCATCTTTATAAAGTTCCATTACTTTGTTATGCAGGTCTTTTTGGCTTTCTCCCCATGGCTCAGTATCTAGCCTGCCAACACACCCATTAACTATTTATACACAGACACTAATTGCAATTTAAAAGGTCGGGTGTGGCTTGGGAGGTGACAGGCTAAAGCTGTTCTTCCTTCATAAATTTGCAATCTTCATTGTGCGGCGTCCCATCTTTCGTTATTAAAATTATCACACCTAAACTTCAGCTTTAATGACTGGATCACCAGGTATTCTGTAAATGAAAGCT